GGTTGCCTCCGGGTACTCCGGTTCCCTCCCATGCTCCAAAGACATGCTAGTAGGTTAATTGACTCCTGTCTAAATTGGCCCTAGTATGTGTATGTATGAATGTAAATTAGGGACCTTAGATTGTACACCCCTTGAGGGTTAGGGACTGATGTGAAAGTACAATATATACTGTATGTAAAGCACTGCGTAAATGGACGGCGCTATATAAGTACCTGAAATAAATAAATAAATGTGCTGTCAAGTACCAGATGATCTCCTAAGTTGCCTTCAGGATACAGATGACCAGGAGTGGTGTAATTTACTCAAATGCGCATAATATTGCGCTATCTGGTTAGTGCAATATTTACTCATTTTTTCCATGCGCTGGAGTCACCGAATTCACCTATATTTGTTTTATTGGACGTTTTATTATTGGACGTTTTTAAATATTTGCGTCACTATTGCACCTTGTGCGTCATATTAAGACGCTACTTGCACGAAAATCCCTAGCGCTCTATAGCGCACGTTTTTAATTTTTATGAATTATTATCCTTTTACTAATTTATTAGCGCTGCATTTTACTAATATACCAGTAGTATCAGGGCTATAGCCCTGTAAAGGAATGGATCTACCCAGAGAAAATACTCAGGGGAGAGTCTTCCAAATCGAGGAAGGTCCATAGACACTCCCCGGCACCAACAATAATAATACTCCATTACTAACATAGTGCAATATAAGAATAACAGAGCCCTCTCATACTGTAGTCAGCAGGCAGGTCTGATGCAACCTCAAGGACGGCATGGGGGTGAGGGAGAAAAAAAAAAAAACCCCAACAAACCCCCCCTCCTCCCCTCGTTATAGTATACACATATGTACTTAAAGGTAATACCGCTCTCACGCCTCCCACCCTCCCCCTCCCCCAGTCCTCCCAAAGCACCCGAGTAGTGGTAACCAGGAACCACTGAAAAGCCACCACATGTCAAAAAACGACACAAAAAAAAAAAAAAAAAAACACAAAATGAAGTGTTAACCTCAAGAAGTCTTTCTGGGTGATCTCGTTGACTTCGTCTTCCCAGAATCCAGAATTTGGAGCAGTCCACAATGGTGAAAGTGGCGGAGGCCAAGATGTAGACCTTGCTGGGGAATGGGATGTAGGGCTATGGGAAATAATGCCCAGTTGAAGTAACAATTCTTCGCCATCCTGGAATGTAGAGAACCCGTAAGGTTTTCCATTGAAATTGAATTGTAGGCGAAAAGGTTAGGCCCACCGATACCAGATATCCTTCTGCACTAAGTGGGAAAGTAGTGGCTTAAGAGATTGCCGCTTCTGGATGGTGGTTGGAGAGGCATCTGCAAATATTTGTATTTTTTGTCCCACAAATTCCAAATCCAGAGTCTCCCTACTATACTTCATAACCGCTTCCTTGACCTGAAAAAAGTGTGGCTTAACAATGATATCCCTAGGAGGCCCTCCCTGTCTAGGGGGATCAATGCTCTGTGTATACGATCAATTTCTGTATGAAGATCGTCGATATTGGGTACTGCGGACCGCATGAGGGTTTGTGCACAGCTAGTGAGCTCCTTAACTGACTCAGGGAACCCTCGAATGCGAAAATTGTAGCGCCCAGCCTGATTTTCCAAATCATCAATTTTAGAATAAGCTTCCTCCAAGCGATCTTGTAAGTCGGTAATCATATTAGAATTTTGGGATACATTATGGACTGTCGCATAAACTTTAGATTCGATATTCTCCAGGCATTGGCCTAATTCCTGAAAATCTTGTTTAAGGTCAGTCGCCAATTTTGTTGTAGCTCTATCCAATTTGCATTGCAGTAAAGCAGCGAACCAAGCTATTAGGGTTGCATCACCTGAGTATTGTGGTGGATCCGGAAGGATTGCCGGTGAATGAGCAGGGCTGTCAAATTCAGGTGCAGGTTCTAGGACGCTACTCTGGATTAAAAAGATGGCCGCCATCTCGCCATCCAAAGGGGAGGAAGCAGGGGAATCGTGGCCTATTGAACAGACCCAAGCCTGGGACTCAGGCAGTGCAGGGCTGGAAGGTGACTGGGGGTGGTGAATCACTCACCCCAGATGGTGGAGTCGCCGCTGTCCGGACCAGGTCAGGAGCGAGGGTAGGGCCCGATTCCACCCTCTGAGGAAGAGGTGCTGGTTTGTTGGAGGCAGAGGAGGCGGCAGGGGCTGTGGACGCCGAGCCAGGAGCCATCTTGGATCCCCTGCTGCCCGCAGGGATTGAGAGCTGGGAGCTGCATTCGTTCAGGGCCCCAGGGTCCGGGCTAGGTCCAAGGTGAGTCCCAGGAGCAGTGGGGGCTCTGTGCCCGTGTATGGGTTGCTCTTAGTGCCGGGGGTGTGCGGAGCTAGTGCTGAGACATGGAGACCGGCCGACCGCGTATGCACACTCCTTACCAATCCTTTTATATGGTGCCTGCATTTGTTTTCTTTTTTTAAGTTTTTTTCCTTTAAATACATTTGGTGATCCAGCCAGTAAGTCTGTTGCCTTTCAAAAGAACAAGCTCTCCTGCAGATGTGGCAGTTAAAGAGATGATACAAACCATTTAACACTTACAGGGGTGCTTACAATGGTCAGCTTTTGTTCATTTATGTAAAACCTTTATCCTAAAAGGAGGGAAAAAAACTGTTTCTGTAATGGCTTATGGAATGTTAACTGGAGTTCAGATTTAATTTGTAAGGCCTAGTTCACAGTGGCAGTGAAAGCAGGCATTTAAGGGGCATTTTTAGCGCTCTTCAAACACCTCTGCAAATGATACTATGGACAGCACATAGTGCTGTTTACATTATCAAAACATGAAGCGTTAGCATCGCATTGCTTCAAAATTGAAGTCTCAGGTCGAGCCTGGAGGAGTTTGAAATCTTTCAATGCCTCCCATTCAAGTCTATGGTGATGCTCCGCAAACCCTCTGGCAGGCATTTTTGGGGTGTTCGCAGTGTGGTTGCAGCACGTTAAGAACATTACAGGCTATTATAGGCATGTTTGGTGCAGTATTAAAGCTTGTAAAATGGTTATAAGACATGTCAAAACCGCTCATAGGGCGTTTGGGGAGATATTGTAACTCTTGTGCCAGTCCAATGCCCATACTAGAGCTCATTAATGCATGTCTATCGCCTATACTAAGGCTAAGAGCGTCTGTTAAGAGTTTGAAATTTAGTTAAGTGTGAAAAAGCCCTTAGCCAAGTCCATCTAAATCTGACCAATATTACCCTCCCCCAGGCTGAGAGTGCTGCTATCCAAAGGGGTCTCTGTTGCTCTTCTCTCCCAGGACAGAGACATCCTAACACAAGAAGTGTCTTACTGGCCAAATCACCAGGTGAAAGGGGGAAAAGGGCTAAAAAAGACCACGAATGCAGCAAGTACAGTACATCTAATAACACTGTTCAACAAATTTTTTTATTTTTTGCCAGTTTTGGAAACAGATTAAACCATGAACATTGTTACATACAGCAATATCACCTTCCTGGACGAAGAATGGGATCAGATCTTTCTGACGATGACGGTAGAAAGACGTACGAACATCACTTGCTAGGAGATTCCACTGTTGTAGTCTTGACCCCAAAAGCTCTGCCTTGTTCTTCGGAAGATCCAGGTCTCTGATAAGATCGCTCAATTCCACTTGTGTAATGAGGTGTGGTTCAGTGGGTGTGGATGGAAGAAAGTCTGGGTCATGTGAGGTTGACGACTACACGCTTCAGGTTCTTCCTCACTTGACTCAACCACGAAGGATTCTGGTGCTTTAGGAATTGGTAGCCCTCTCCATGAGGAACTGGACGTATTGCCGATGGAATATTTGGATAGTGCACAGATAACTTTTTCTTCTTATTTAGCCCTTTTACAATTGGAGGCACCATACAAAAGTAACAATTACTAACATGATCTGTTGGCTCTCTCCAAATCATTGGCACAGCGAAAGGCATAGATGCCTTTTTTCCATTCAACCATTGCTCCAGTGCCGTCCCACAAGAATTGCAGCATATATGTGGTGCCCAGCTCTTGTCCTGGTCTCTTATCTTGCAGCCAAAATACAAGTTGTAGGCTTTCTTAATCATTCCTGTTATCCTCCTTTTTTTGTGAGATAAAAGTTATTTCACCGCAGATATAGCAGAAATTATCTGCTTTATTCACACAAGTTCGAGGCATTACTGAGTAGCCTATATAAGCATAAAACGAAATGTAAAGACGCTGTCGAACTACAATCAGCTACAGATACTGCAGCTTTTATGCAGTGAAGTGATGCAATTAAAGGCTAATATTGCATCATCTCAGTATACATGCAATTTTCTATTGGTCACCAGTATCAATTGCGCAATATGCAGCTGAAGTTGCATCATAATTTTGAATCGCTTACGTCATTAGATGGGTGAATATATCATGGAAACTAGAGCCAATCAACATTTCTTAGGGTCATTTTCGTTTTCAGCACCCCAAAATTATGTAAGATTAGCTAATTTTATGCCCAAAACTTTTTACCTGTTGAACAGTGTATTTGGTTAGCAGCACTATATTTCTCTTTCTTTTTTGGGGTGGGGGGGGAGGTTATTACTGCTTTACCAGTGTTGGGCCTGATGAATTTAAATTTAAAGAGTGCGTTGTCTTTTTTATGTGAAAAAATATTTTCAACTCAATACTCATAATTGGAAAAATACAAATCAATACACATAATTAATTCAATTAATACATAACTAATATTAATTATTTGCATACAGCGCACTTTTTTATTTAGAGATTTATTTGGGTCCAGCAGTCATAATTAACCAAGTGTGAGATTTCATTATATTTTATTTCAAGTACTTATATAATGCTGTCAGTTTATGCAATGCTTTACATATATATTGTATATTTGCATCAGTCCCTAACCCTCAAGGGGTGTACAGTCTAAGGTCCTTAACTTGTTGCCGACCGCAGATAGCCGAATGACGGCTGCACTGCGGCCGGCCAGTTCTGAGTGGACGTCATATGACGTGGTAAAAGGCCAATCACACCAGCCTTTTACCACGTGATCAGCGGTGTCCAATGACACGCTGATCAGAGGGAAATGCAAGTGCCGGTTCTCGGCTGCACTTTCCTCACGCTGTCAGATCGTGAGGAAAGTACTGCCGAGAACCGGCAGTTGTCAGAGCGGGGATCGACACCGATCATCAGGGCACTGGCAGTGCCCTGATGATCGGTGCCCAGCAGTGCCACCCGCAAATTCCGCCCACCTGTGCCCTGCAGTGCGCCCACTAGCTCCGCCCACCGGTGCCCAGCAGATCACCCACCTGTGCCCAGCAGTGCACCCACCTGTGCCCAGCAGTGCACCCACCTGTGCCACTCTGCAGTGTCACACACCTGTGCCCAGAAGTGCCACCTACCTGTGCCCAGCAGTGCCACCCACCTGTGCCCACCAGTGCCACCCACCTGTGCCCACCCACCAGTGCTGCCCACCAGTGCCCACCCACCAGTGCAGCCCAGCAGTGCTGCCAGTCAGGGCCACCAGTCAGTGCCCAGGGGTTGTGCCAGTCAGTGCCGCCAGTCAGTGCCCAGCAGTGATGCCAGTCAGTGACGTCTATCAGTACCCATCATCAGTGTCACCTATCAGTGCCGCCTATCAGTGCTGCATATTAGTGCCGCCTATCCGTGACACCTCATTAGTGCTGCCTATCAGTGCCGCCTATCCGTGCCACCTCATTAGTACTGCCTATCAGTGCCCTTTGGTGCTGCCTATCAGTGCCGCCTATCAGTGCCCATCAGTGCTGCCTCATCAACGCACATCAGTGAAGGAGAAAAAATACCTGTTTGAAAAATTTTATAATAGAAACAAAGAAACTTTTTTTTTTTTTCAAATTCTTTGCACTTTTTTTATTTATAGCGCAAAAAGTAAAGCGCCCAGTGGCGATTAAATACCACCAAAAGAAATCTCTATTTGTGAGAAAAAAATTATCAAAATTTCATATGGGTACAATGTTGCATGACCGCGCAATTGTCAATCAAAGTGCGGCAGCGCTGAAAGCTGAAAATTGGCCTGGTAAGGAAGGGGGTATAGGTGCCTGGTAGGCAAGTGGTTAATTTACATTCATACATACACATACTAGGGCCAACCAACCAGCATGCCTTTGGAGTGTGGCAGGAAACCAGAGTACCCAGAGGAAACCCATGCAGGCACTGGGAGAGAACATGCAAACTCCAGGCAGGTGGCGTTGTGGTTGGGATTTGAACTAGAGACCCTAGTACTGCCAGGTGTAAGTGCTAACCATTTAGCCACTGTGCTGCCCATATATATATATAAATGTTTCATTTTGTGGGCCTGATGATTTGCTTTTTATGCCCAACTGCTGCATCCTTGGAGGAAGCCACATTCTCCTCTATATGCAGAAGAGAATCTGAGAGTTTTGAAAGAGCCATAGAGAGGTGTGCATAGCAAAGGTAAGCATAGGTAGTTTAAGGTGCAGATTTCAGACACTGTCACTTTGTACTCAATGGCCAAAGTGTTTCTTTAATGTGCTTGTAAACCCAGTGAAGTGACTGGCCTCATATAATACACAGAGATTAAACAAATCCTCCTACATAAGTTGCACCTGTTTATCTGCAGCCCTCCCTTCTCTACAGGTTCACAGTGCAGAATTTATACAGCATGTCTGAGCTTTCAGAAAGCAGGAGGTGGGGAGATGAAATTACACTCTGCAGGTCTCAGTGAGGAGAGCTCTGAGAGCTGATTGGAGGGAAGGGACACACACCCCCTTCACACAGCACACAGGAATAGAGCTGAGGCTGTCAATTACAGATTATGTACTGGAGATCCTTCCTCTGTCCCCTCTTTTCTCCTGGTGTCAGGAAATACTGTCAGAAGTGACTCAGACAGCAGAGGAATGAGACAGCAGACAGAAATGACACTTGAGCTGGGTACACAAGCAAATTCTTTCTCATTCAAACCAACAGGCTCAGCAAAAAAAAAAAAAACAGAACAGTGCTGGAGTTATGCTTTAACTAGTATACTGAAAATGTTTTTTTTTATGTCTTTTTTTTGTGGCATAGACATATTTACTGTTGAGGATGTAGGAAATTTCCTCCTATTGTTATCTGAACTATGAGAATGTTTCTACATGCACAGACCTTTGCTAGTCTGAGAAGCTATTTCCTGAGATGGTGGAGGACTGTTTCCTTTTATGTATATGTCTTTTGTTTATTGTTCCTTGAATATCATGTGTATATATTCTATTGGTCCAGAGAAATATTGTCTCATCCCCTTTTTTAAATGTATATTAGCTGTCCTGACCTGAATTCAGTTGAATATAGACTGAGAAAGCACACGGGTCTGATGTGTATATTCCCAAGAGCTCGCAATCATTACAGGTTGAACAGAGGCTGGCCAGCAGAAGTGTACCTACCAAAGGGTACTAACCTATCAGACTGGTGTCAGAAGTGGGATTTGATCCCACACCTCTAGTCTCTTAACTGTACTAACACACACAATGTTAATGCTGTGATCTTGCCCACTGTGCTATTTATATTCTGACACCCCAGCAGAACACACTGATCAGTTGATGGTTTTCCATTATGTCCCTTCAACGAAAACTTTTCATTAGACGTGCTTCTGTCAGAAAGACAGTTGTACACACTAACAGAATGTTGGGCTGGTTTCTGTTGAACCGGCGAATACTGACTGATAGTCGCCCTGCGTTTTACCCAGCCTTAGTATTCTGCAGTGAGACAAGTACACACTTTAGAGGGATATGCTTTGTTCATATTTCATGTCTGAGGTTTACAACCACTTTAACTAAAATAGTAAAGTTACAGTTTAGTTACAAACTAAGATAACAAAGAAATCAAGGGGTCTATTTATGAATGTTTTCACCCAGAATTCACACCTTTTCCAAACTAAATCAAATTAGAAAAATATATGTGAGTTTGTGATGAGTGTTATGTGGATCTTCTGTACTACATAGGCTGCTGTCTTTTCACATTATTTTTTTTTCTAATTATTATTCTTGTTAATATTAATATAATCATTATTAATATTATTCTTTATATTTATATTTTTTTTTTTCATTTCTAAATAAAGAAATGGTATCTAAATATTCAGCTGAGAACGGGTAAAGAAACAATGTTATTAAGCATCTCCTGCCAGATGAGAAAAGCAAACACTTATTTTCAATAAGATAAACGGGCTTTGTTTTGAAATGCCACCTGGTATAGGGAAAAGGACTTGTCTTAATGAAATATTTCTGCACTAATGCATCATCATTAATGGCTTATTAGTAAAAAGGGCACTGGAAGATGAAGGACAGTCAGGAATGTACATATGAATAACCAGATGTCAGCAATAAAGGCTATTTTTTGTTGTTGTTGCCATTATAGTTTTTGCTTTAACCACAAACCTCCATGTTGTTAATACAGTAAGCTTTATAACTTAGAACTGGTTATACACACTGTAATTTTCAATCATACTCAACCAGTTTTCATTAACCACTTTCCTACAGGGCACTTATGTCCCCTTTCTGCCCATACCAATTTTCAGCTTTCAGCGCTGTCGCACTGTGAATGACAATTGCGCAGTCATGCAACATTGTACCCATATGATATTTGTATAATTTTTTTCACACAAATAGAGCTTTATTTTGGTGGTATATACTTGTCGCTGTGTGTTTTATTTTTTTACGCTATAAAACAAAAAAAGAGCAAAACTTTAGAAAAAAAAATGTTTTTCTTTGTTTCTATTCTAAAATTTTGCAAACAGGTAATTTTTCTCCTTCACTGATGTGCGTTGATGAGGCTGCACTGAAAGGCAGCACTGATGAGCACTGATAAGCGGTACTGATGGGTGGCACTGATAGGGGGCACTGATGGGTGGCACTGATGAGGTGGCATGGATAGGCATCACTGATGGGCACTAATAGGCGGCACTGATTATGCTGCACTGATATACAACAATGATGGGCACTGATAGGCAGCACTTATGGGAACTGATAGGCGGCACTGATGGGCACTGATGGGTGGCACTGGCTGATGGCACTGACTGGCAGCACTGATGGGCACTGAGCAGCACTGATGGGCACAGGTGGGTGGCACTACTAGGCACTGATTGGCACAGGTGGGTGGCACTGATGGGTGGCACTGATGGGAACTTGTGGGTGGCACTGCTGGGCATAGGTGGGCGGCACTGGTGGGTGGTACTGCTGGGCACTGATAATCAGGGCACTGATCATCAGTGCTCTGATGATCAGTGCCGATCCATCCTCTGACAATTGCCGGTACTTTCCTCAAGTTGTGACAGTGTGAGGAAAGTGCAGCTGATATCTGGCAACTGCATTTACCGGTGATCTGTGTCATTGGACACAGCTGATCACGTGGTAAAAGGCTCAAGATCTGGCCTGTGGCAGTGGAGTAGTCAGTCAGAACAATGCTGGAATTGCTGGGCATGTATGTTAATTGTGGATAAGCCAGCAAAGTAAGGGGAGAATGAAAAAATTTCCACAGGGAGGAAGTGGGGAATGGTGAAGTGCTTCTTTAACCACTTAAGCCCCCAATCCTTTTCTTCTTAAATCACCTTTAGTAGCAAAAGTGGGAGTGGTTTAAATTGCACTAAACATTGGGTGTGGTATGTGCAGGAGAGGGGTATGGAGTGTATGGCGGCGTGTGGTATGGAGAGAGGGGTATGGAGTGTATGGCGGTGGGTGGTATGTACAGAAGAGGTGTATGGAGTGTATGGTGGTGGGAGGCATGTACAGAAGAGAGGTACAGAGTGTATGGCGGTGTGTGGTATGTACAGGAGAGGGGTATGGAGTGTATGGCGGTGTGTGGTATGTACAGGAGAGGGGTGCGGAGTGTATGGCGGTGTGTGGTATGTACAGGAGAGGAGTACGGAGTGTATGGCAGTGTGTGTTATGTACAGAAGAGGGGTACAGAGTGTTATGGCGGTGTGTGGTATGTACAGGAGAGGGGTACGGAGTGTATGGCGGTGTGTGGTATGTACAGGAGAGGTGTATGGAGTGTATGGCGGTGGGTGGTATGTACAAGAGAGGGGTACAGAGTGTATGGCGGTGTGTGGTATGTACAGGAGAGGGGTACGGAGTGTATTGCAGTGTGTGGTATGTACAGGAGAGGTGTATGGAGTGTATGGCGGTGGGTGGTATGTACAAGAGAGGGGTACAGAGTGTATTGTGGTGTGTGGTATGTACAAGAGTGGGGTACGGAGTGTATGGCGGTGTGTGGTATGTACAGAAGAGGGTATGGAGTGTATGGCGGTGGGTGGTATGTACAGGAGAGGGGTATGGAGTGTATGGTGGTGGGAGGCATGTACAGAAGAGAGGTACGGAGTGTATGGCGGTGTGTAGTTTGTAGAGGAGAGGGGTACGGAGTGTATGGCAGTGTGTGGTATATACAGGAGGTGGGTATGGAATGTATGGTGGTGGGAGGCATGTACAGAAGAGGGGTATGGAGTGTATGGCGCTGTGTGGTATGTACAGGACAGGGGTATGGA